CCTGGAACTCACTATGTAGACCAGGCTGGCCTTGAACTCACAGAGATCCCCCTGCTTCTGCCTCTCAAGTGCTGAGATTAAAGGCATGCACCACCACACCTGGCATTTCCTTTCTTTTAAGCATCCAAAAAGATGCAGTGAGATGAAGTGAAAAAGTAGAGGAGCGGACAGTGAACTTAAAAGAAGTGTAGGCCAGGAGCACTAGGCTGGAGCAGCAGCTGGCAGGGATGGCCATCGACCCACTGCTTCACTCTTTGATGTTCAGTGGGTTCCTTGGTCCAAAAATGGTTGCGACACCATGTTGAGTAAGAAAAGTATGAAGAAGACTGCATTTGGTGGTGGTGGTAGAAACATGATGGGCAAAAAAAATAAATTTAAATCCAGAGTAATGTATTTTAGGGCGGACCGTCTCCTGTTGCTAGATGTTTCCGAAAAGCATTTAAGGATCTGCTTTTCAACAAGTTTCTGTGGGCTTGTCTGGAGTGAAAAACCATTGTCTCAGTTTGCAATCCCAGCTGTTAAGGAGAAGGCACAGTGCTTTGGACTCTGGTTCAATTGCGTTTTTGACCCAGTAAGTCACCTATTGTCCCGAGGCTGGTGCTTAGCGTGGATGGACTTGTCTGGTCTGTTGCTGCAGTGCTGAACTTTGTCACCCAGCAGACCTAAGGGGACATTTGGTATATTTTCCCAAGTCAAGGTACTTCCTGGTACCTTTTACGGTTTTGTATTGTGGGGCTGGAAAGATGGCTCATCGGTTAAGAAAACTGGTTGTTCTTGCAGAAGACCTGGGTTCGAATCCTAGCACCTACATGGCAGGTAATAACTGTCCGTAACTCCAGTCCCAGGGGATCCAACAGCCTCTTCTGACCTCCGTGGGCGTTGCATGACATGGGTGCACTTACCTACATGCAGGCAATACACACATACACATAAAAAATAAAAAAAATAAAATTTTAGAAAGATTTTATATTGTAAAAAACTATGTTTTTGTTTATGCAGACTTGTCTATTGAATTAATTTTGTGTATTTTGTTTATATAAATGATATTTCTAGGTATTTTGTGTACTTTTAGACTGAGGACTCGTGTTTCCTGAGCATTCTTAGCCTTTTACATACCTTTCTCTTTCTTCTGAGCCTCCCTCAGATATGTGTGGCACTTTCCTTGTGCTCTTTGCTTGCTCTCTCAGTTTTTCCTTTTCTTTCTGGGCTGCATTCTGAGTAAAGTGCTTAGCATTATTCTCAAATTTACCAGTTCTTTTCTCAATTCTGTCCAGCCTGAAGTGTCTTCTATACTAAATTTAAAATTTTGATGACTATTTCTTATTTACGTATTTCCCCTTTGATTCTCTTTTTAGTCATCTCATTTTATTCTGTTTTTAAAAAATACTTTCTTGTTTTTATTGGCTTTTTAAAAGCACCTTAAGAATACTTATTTTGGTGGAATGCTTAATTTCATCTGAAGTGAATTTGTAATCTTATTGAATGGCTGGTTTTGTTAGTGCCCTTATTGGCAGTAGATCTCTTCATATACTTTAGAGTTTTGATTGCATGACATGCCTTTCAAAAGATGTATTTTTTATTGGTCTCATCCACTCATTTAATGGTACCTCTCTTTCTCCTTTTCTCCTCATTTGTCCCCAGATAGCAGCTTTTTAGTTTTCTTTGTTTGGTCTCTCTGGAGCCCCCATCTAGTACTAGGGATTGACAAGGGTGGAGGCAAGCAGTTCTCGGCTTCATCTCCTGATCCTGGCTGGCTGGTGGTGTCCGTCCTTCCCCAGACACTGCTCCATAGGAGACGAATGGGATAAAACGGGGCCCCAGTTAGCATTGGAGACCCTTCCGTAACTGAAACAGGTTTTGGCTCTGCTCTGTGGCTGTTTAGACCCAGGTCTGGTAGCCCTGAGCCTCCACAGTTTATTCTAGCTTTGGTTGCTGAGCACAGGAGGCACCAAAGCTTTCCCTTGGGGATTTGAGTTTTTTGTTTGCTTGTTTGTTTCTGTTCCATATCTATTTCAAGAAATATTTATATATATTTTTAGCTTCCCTGCATCTTTTCAGTGTTTTTTTTTTGTTGTTGTTTGTTTGTTTGTTTTTTGTTTTTATATTTCCCCTTTGGTTGCTCTGTGTTTATAGAGTACAGAGAGTTCATCCATCAAAGAGTGAATTTATTGTGCCATCTTAACGGGAAGTCATGTGGCCTCAGAGTTTAAAGGAAACAAAGTTAGATATTTGGTTTTATACAGCACTGAAAGGTAACCACAAGAATGCTTTTCTGTATGAGTTCAGTGGCCTGCAACATACAGTTATGTAAACTCCTTCTGAGGCTTGCAGGCCCCTAAAGATGAGAGAGATTAAGCAGGTGGGATTTATTAGGATGCTCTAATTCTCTACAAAGATTTTACCCATTTTTCATTTTGAAGATAATTTTTTTGTAAAACCATGTTTTCAAACATCTAATTACCTAAAATACTAACCAGATACACCTTAACATTTCCATGCCCGTAGTTGTTTGTGTTGGCACCAAGTAGCACTACTTTAAATACAGGGAGTATTACAGAAGAACAGAGGTGAAAATGTATATTGTGTCTGTGAACTCAGTGAGACATTGCTATTTCATTGTAGTTCAAAGGAGAAAAGTGGCTAACCAATCAGTTATACCCCAGCATAGAGCAGTAGTCACAAGCACAGTTGAATCTACCTTTAGCTGCCAAGGTCAAATCCGCATGGCTGGTCAAAAGTGAGCTTCAGTGACTGCATTATCACCCACATTCAACTCCTGTTGTCAGTTTACATTTTAGTTATTTTATATGTTTGCTATTTAGATGTGTTAATATGTAACATTGGTAAATATGATACTTTTTATTAATTTCTACTTTTTTGGATTATAGTTTTTGAGTTACAAGCATAGAGTTTTGCTGTTTATGTTTGTTAATATTTAAATAGCAGAATAAAAATAACTTTCATCTCTTATGAGAGCTCTCAGCAGCTCTTATTTTAAGTTTGAGAAGTCTAGATCAAATGGTAGCTTAGTTCTTCCTGGGCTGGTGGGATCTCAGCAGGAAAGGGTGCTTATTGCTTGGTTTAACTGCCTGAATTCTATTCCTGGAACCCACATGGTGGAAGGAGAGAACTGACTGGTTCCCTCAAGTTACCTTCTGATCTCCACATGTGCCCCACCTACGCTCCCACACACATACACACCATAAATGAATAAGTACATACATAAATGTAAATAAAAAAATCTTCCTAAGCAATGTGATAATCATCCCAGATTTGGTTTTGACATTTTTGCCTGCCTCACCCCTACTTGTATATTAGGACCTAGCTTAGCTCAGATAGCATATCATTTCTGTCTGGAGCATGTGAATAATTTATCTAAATCTGTGTCCTACCCTGTTTTTTTTCTTTTCTCACAACCTTTCCCTCTCACTACCTGTTAAATTTTACCTAATTACAAGGTTTTAAAAAAATTCATTATTTTTATTTTATGTGTATGTGTATTTTGCCTGAAGGTATGTAAATGTACCTGTGTGTAATGCTTATGGAGGCCAGATGTAAATGTCCCTGTGTGTAATGCCTATGGAGGTCAGAAGAGGACATAGCATTCCCTAGAACTGGAGTTACAGGCAGTTGTTAGCCACTGTGTGGTGCTGGGAATGGAACTCGGGTCATCTGCAAGAGTAGTTAATAGTCCTAGTTAGATGAGCCATCTCTCTAGCTCCTGCTAACAGGTTTTGATTTTCTCATTAGCCACAGGTTGCCTGAAAGCAGAGAACACTGTCATCTTTTCATTTGTAATGTTTTTGAGTTCTTATCATAAAGTAGACTCCCTACAAAATGTGTAAGCTTCTTTTCTTGTTTTTGTTTAGCAATAAACCTCTGGTGGAACCAAAGGTGGAAAGAGGCAGAAATAACTTTGGAGCTAAGTCAAGTAGTGACATAGGTAAGAGCATAATTTCTAATATTTTAATTATTAATGTGTTCTTCAGCACAATTTTCTAATTTGCTTTACCAAAATCCAGTAATTCCAGTGTTGGAGAATTGAAGACAAGAATGCACGTAAGATAGGTAATCACCTTGCTGAGATTTAAGGAGTAAAAACGGTGTGTTTGAGTTGAGGGATGACCTTGTGCTCTGATGGAGAACAAGGTCCAAGGGTCTCAATCATAGCAACTCCAAGAGTTTCTTCTTACTTTGAAACCAAGTCCAGAGAGAAGTTCCCCTCCCCACATACTGGGGACCTGCATGGGAGATTTGCGCTCAGAAAGTCCCCAGAGTTCTCTGCTCGATTTACATTGTCTTAAATTTTCATGGAGTCATTTGAAGAGTATATATACACATTCAGTACCTGCTTTGAAGTTGATTCCTATACCTTAGACTCAGGCTCTGTTGAAAATTGAAGTTGTTTTCAAATTACTTATTAATTTCAAGTCTGTGTTTCTGATTAGCCTGCCTCAGAGGTGAAACTGTGCTGACTCAACAGAGAAAAAGCTGGCTCCTCCTAGTGGAACTTTTCCTAAAACTTTGGTGTTTTGGGAAGGGAAATTATAATTTATTTCCCTCAAACAATTCCTGGGTATAAGGTTATGCTCTTTTGATGTGAAAGTAAAGCTAAAAACATGGGGGAAACTTAACCAATTTTATTTATAATAATGAAGCAAAGAAACCTTACCTTTCAACAAATTAAACATACTAGTATCAAGCTCTCAGTAAGGGAAGCTTGGCATTAGTTTATAGTGAACATACATTTCTTAATTTTGTGCTTGATTAATTGGGGTGAAGTGTTAAATATTTTCTGCCAAGGCCTTTGTGTCCCTAATTGATGATATTGACTAGAAACTAAGTGTTTGATAGAATTCTTTTTCATTTTCCATAAACTGTGTTTTGTAGCATTCTATCTGTGAATCTCTTGTTAGTTGCTTATTTTATAGGAGAAAGATTTGATCAGCTCAAATTTGCAGGAAATGCAAAGAAAAATAATGCTTTACCACTCTGAGGATACCATTTATTTGGCCTGTAGAGACTTAACTCCAATACTTCTGACTTGGAAATATTTTAGATCAAAAAAAGAAAACATTTTTTTTTCTATATCTTCACATCTATAACAACTGTGGTAGGTTTGTTAATTATTTGCACATTCGTTTAATATATTTGTCAAATTCCTACTATGTACCAAATGCTATGCGTATCCCTGGTTTTCAAAACCATCTTCAATGAACTAGGATCTGAGGAGACACGTCAGTTGGACTATGTTTATTTCCATCAGCAGCGATCCTGGCAGGAAGCAGTGTAAACAGAAAGGAACAGTGTGATTGCAGTGCAGCACCTACCTCCCTTTCTTCAGTTGTGCTGCTCAGGCTCCAGCTTGCCTCCCTGCCATTTGCAGCATGCCGTCCAGTTTTCTCAGGCTTCCTTACTCCTGTCTTCTGGTGACATCTACCATTGTAGGTGCCACATAAAGACTAGTGTCAAGTGGAGGGAAAAAAACCTTTCAAAATTGAAAATGTTTCCAAGAACCCCTTTTTTTGAGCCTCAGTTCTCTCATGACTTAGGGTTGTATAACATGCACATTCTTACAGCTGACAGGAAGGGCATGGGAAAACCAAGAGTAGGCTATACCAACTCTTTTTGAAATGTGGTCCAGGCATCCTTGGGTGTTCCCCGAGGCCCTTTGAGGAGGTTCACAAGGCAAACTGATTTCATGATAATGCTAAGGTGCTGTTTACCATTTCTATTCCCATTCCCTTACTGTTGTACAGTGGAATTGCCAAGAGTTGCATATGTGATGATGTCAGCACTCTGGTAGCTAGTGGGATGTAGGCTTGTGTGTTCTTTTTTTTGTTGTTTTTTGAGGCAGGGTCTCCCTGCAGCCCCTGCTGGCCTGGACCTCACTCTGCAGACCAGGCTGTCCTTGATCTCATGGAGATCCCCTTGCCTCTGCCTCCTCAGTGCTGGGATTAAATATGTGTGCCACCATGCCCAGCTAAATTTTTTTTTTAAGCAAATAAGAAGATGGCTTATGGGTATTGAGTGGGTGACTAGTGTGTAGCATACTGTTTTTAAGGCTTATCCATACAAACATCAGCATTTTACTCCTTAATGTTGGATAATATTCTGTTGTATATAGATACTATATATACTGTATTTATTTATTTATTGGTGGACATTTGGGTTGTTCCCAACTATGGGCTATTGTGCATAAAGCTTTCATGAACATTGGTGTACAGGTGCTTCTTTAAGACCCTTTTGAGACTGCACATAATAAAATTGCTGGATCGTATAGTAACTGTGTTTGCTTTCCTAAGGAAGCTCCACATTGTTCCATCATGGCTGCATTGTACATTCTGAGCAGCAGTGTACAAAGGTTCCAGTTTCTCAACATTCTTGCCAATGTTTGTTAATTTTCTGAGTTTTTTAAAACAGGGGTCATTCTAATTCTTGTGGGGTGATATTTGGTTTGGGTTTTGATTTGCATTTATTTACCTTGTGATTATTCATGTTGGGGATTTTTTTTTGTGCTTATTATCTGTCATGTTTTTTGACAAATACCTGTTCAAATGCTTTTTCCATTTTCTGTTGCTGAGTTGTGAAAGTTGTTTATGTAGTCTAAATATTCATCTTTTATAAAACATGATTTACATGGATCATACAACCATTTTGTATGTTGACTTTTTACATAAGATTTCAGTTTTAAAAACTGATTTTAAAAAGCTAAGCCTTTAAGTATCTGCTCTTTTTCTTGTTGCCATCCTAGATATTTCCCAACTGCAGTGATTTAGAAAGACGGTAATTACTGCAGTGCTGTAATAGCTACCTTAGAATTTCTCTCACCATTCAAGATGTTTCCCTGGCTACTCCTAAAAGAATAATGGTCAACATTAAATGACTTAAAAGTATTTCTTCTTAACATCTGTATGCAATTATAATCTTTGACAGGTCTTTAACAGGACTAGATTCCTCCAATTTCAAAGTTGAGTGGAACTTGTAGGCTCTGCAGAAATAAACAAACAAAAAAAATTGAGTTTGAAGCTCTTCATAGATAGACCAGCCTTTGAGATTTGAAAATGGTCCTCAGCAATGATTCTAAGGAAGACCTGAAGAATTTCTTGTTAATTTATAGAAAAATGATGGAAAAAAATCACTAGGAGAGAGTAGTGTCCTGTATGTTAAACAAGAGGCTAGAGTTACTAGCTCACACAGGTCTTCATCCCTGACCCAACACTACCCTATATGTGCTTGTGGGGCTTCCTTCTGGCTGATTCAGTGATCAGGTGATTATTGGGAATTGAAAGTCATGAACTACTGTGCTCTCCTAAAGTAAGGGAAGATTCTGAGGGTTAGAACAATCCTTGACAGGCCCTTACATTCCTAATTTCTGAATGTAGAGAAACAGTTTTGCTTGCTTGTGTGCATTAAAAATTTTTTTTAAAAAGTTTTAAATTCTGTATATGTGGGTGGATATGTGCATGTAAGTGTAGGTGCCCACAGAGGCCAGTAGAGGACATCAGATTCCCTGGAACTGGAGTTACAGGCAGTTGTGAGTTGCTACACCTAGATGCTAGGAATTCAACTCAAGTCCTTTGGGAGAGCAGTATGTGTTCTTAACTGCTGAATCATCTCTCCAGCCCTTGAATGTTTATTTTAATTTAAATTAATTTTATTTTTGTAGCTAGTACATAAAAATTTTATGTTGTTTGTTATTTAATGAGTTGGGGAACTTTGTCCCAGCTTTTCATTCACACAAAGCTCAAGTGTTGCATTGCTGTTATGCCTTCTTCCACTCTGATGACTTGTGCTTGGTGAATTCCATTTTCCTTGTGAAGTATAGTTTCTAGGAAGTTTCTGAATACATCTTTTCCCCGAAAGGGCAGAAATCATGAAAATGAGGAAGATGCTATCTCTGTTACCTACTTTACTTTGAATCTGAGCTTTTATCACACTATGAACTCTTACAGAAAATGGAGTATCTTTGTACCATGGAGTTTTGAGTTTATAAAATAGCATAAAACCAAATAACTTGGACAATTTATAAGTTAGAGAAGGGAAAAATGCAGTGATCCTAAGTGGGCACTGCCTGGAATGAGACCTCATAGCTGGCTTTCCTTGTAGTATTGTCCCCCCACCCCTCCTCCTGCTTCTGAAGTTGCCCCTCTGGTCCTTCAGGCAATAGTTACATGAGCAAGCTTGTAGGAACCCTTCATTAACTGCTTGTTACCATTCTGGCATCTGGGTTTCTTTGCTCATAGAACTTTTCTTCCGCATAGACATTTCTGAAGGCCATTTTACTTTCTTCTGGATATATACAACAAGGAGACTAACAGCTTCTGTTGTTTTTAGTCTGTGTATGTGGAAAAGGTGAAATCATGGTTAGTTTTGATTCTTTAGGGACATGGTAAGTGTGCTAAGAAATTACTTAAGAAATGGAAACATTTTTAACTTTCCATGATGTTTGTGTTTGCTGTAACAGAATGTGTAGTGTGTTGGCAAAACACTTGTTAAAATCCTGAGTTTTAAGGGAATATGTTACTGAACTTCCACCTTTTTAAAAATGAAAGGCACTAAGCAGCATTCCTATAAGGGTTCACAGTTAAATGACTGTGGGCATAGACATAGGCAGAATCCTTAAAAAGCTAAGGATTTATATCTGTAGCCAGTTTTCAGTTGTATTGCATGTTTGCAGACTAACTGGTTAAGAACATTAGTACATTCATGGAGAAAGCTGAAATTATCATAAATCTGGAGAATCAGCCCCATTTCACAATGTGTGTTTTTTGGCATTGAGTGGGAGCTGCCTCATTTTATCTCCCTGCATGTGCCTCATTCTTCCTTGACTGGGAAAATGACTGTTTCTCCCTCTGTGACAATAGTCTGGAGACACAGTAGCAGCTGCATAGTTAAAGGTCCAGGAAGAAAGGTTGTGGATTTGCTCTTCATCAGAGCCAA